GAATAGCATACACACTGCAGAAAGCACCCAACTGAGTCACAAGACAAACCCTCACTTGGAATTCTCAAGGACAAAGGAGACGAGGAAGGCCAAGGAACACATTACGCCGGGAAATAGAGAAAGACATGAGAAGAATGAACAAAAATTGGACAGATTTGTCAAGGGAAGTCCAGGACAGAGTATGTTGGAGAAAACTGGTTGGTGGCTTATGCCCCATCGGGGTTAAATGGCGTAAGTTTGAAGACGTCATTACATACATAAAAGACCCATAAGAACAACATATGTTTTCTCGAACACAACTTTAGTGAGAACTGTCCTCTGGTAAATAAATACAACTAGTTTGTATTTTGATTTGCCGAATATATCCACCTATTGGATGATTCTTTTGATAAAGTTCAATATATACAAACTTCTCGTTTCGATACATTTTGTTATTTATGTTAATTAAAATGTAATGTATTTTAATTTATACGACTCCTGCTAATTAGCAGTACTAGAAACTGTTTTACAGACATAGTCATTCCATGTAACCTAATGAATAATCCATCTCATTACACCTAGTTCTGACTCACCTCAAAAATACATAAGCTCGTATTATGTGACTCTAGTTAGCCGATTTCCCTGTGATTCAAGATTGCTCGTTGGTAAATTGTCATAATCTGATTTGATTATTTATCATAGTCTAGAAAATTGCTTCTAATATTGACTCTTGACAATGACTGTAAGTTGTAGAATCACAAAGGCGGAAATGAAGACGATCTTCCTTTCCATCACTCTGTGTATCTGCTATGTCTTTCATTACGTCAGGTAACTTATACATACTGTGAGTTTACAGAGTATATCATGAAGTGGCTCAATATGGGATAGTCCGATGTCAAAAACTATCATACACTACTGTATTTTCACGATCAGCTTACTCATCTTATATAAATGTCTTTCAACAATGTGGAAACTACATCTGTCTAAGAAAGAGCAGAGATCGCAGAAGTTATTTTTAAACTTTTTCTTTGAAGGCTCATAATGAAGTATAGTAACCTTGTCCACACAGGTTTGTGTATGGCCAAATTAGTTAAGCTCTTTGATTTAGGCCTATTTCGGCAGACAACTTCTAGAGCACAGTGGTTCGCACATACATTTGTAATGTGTCCTTATTCATGCGAAAACGAATATGTACAACCGAATAAATGTGACAGCCTACACATTTATTTCTCGTTACCGCTTAAATATACCAATAGCTAAAACGGTTGTGGATTCATTTGCATGCATTTTAATATTTGTGTATTCAGATAAATCCACTAATTTAATTCTGCCACTTTGTTCTCCGATCATTTATATTTTGAGCTGTGATTTAAAATGAGCTGTTCTGTGTACTTTGTATTAGATTGTAAACATTACACATCATCGATGAATTATAAAAATTACAGCTATCCAGTCAACTTATATAGACTTTCGCGGAGAAAGTAGAGTTGTTCTCAAGTGGGAGCCTGCCTTTTGGCGAAATTCCCCCATTTCCGAACAATGAGAAGCATGTCATGCTCATATGATTGTGAGATGGTAGAGAAACTCTACTTTTCCCACGAATTTGTTCGTCAACATGTACTACCAACCACTATCAGATACAGACCACCAATTAACTACCCAATCATAGGCGACATAGGGTCAAGAAACAGATCTAAAGGGGAATACAATGAAAACAAATGTGCGAACAACGTCAGACTTAAGGTCAATAGCAACTAATCAAGATCGAGGTTAATAGAACAAGCTACAGGTCAAATATGGAGAAATTCGAATACTTCACTTCTATCTGAAGTTCGTGCTGATGATGTTGTTCAGAACAACAATGAAAGCTTCACAACCAAAACATCAAGCTCAGAGAATGAAACACCCCCACAATCAGCCACCTTAGCTACAAATTTTCTCTAGATAGTTTCAAACCAACAAAAAAATCAAACACTGCCGACCGAAATGGGTTAAAATGAATAAACTTCACAGCTGATAAAGTCATAATCGACATAAGAATATGATGCAAGTTAGTAAACAACGAACAATTTGTATCCAGACAAATTAAATACATATAAGCTATCTGAAATCGCTAGACTCTGAATGACTCCCTACTAACTAACTAACAAGAATACATTACTAAGTAATGCAATGGGATATAAGTAGACAAATTTCTTAAAACTACGACAGGCTGAGGTTTTTTCAAATGTTATCTATTATCTTTAATTTGTTTTAGCTCGATTGTATTGTCCCTTCTTTTCATACTGTATAGATTGTTTAAACAGGCTAGTTTTGCGGTTAATCAATATTTCATTACAAGAACATTACAACCATTTTGTTTAAGAGTTTTATAATCTAAAAATAGAAAAAGATTTGAAGCCTCGAAAACTTTCTAATATGAACCAATTTATGATTTGTAAACTAGCAAGAGATTTTGAATAGAATGGCTCAAAATGGTTGGCAATGGCACAGGCACATTTATTCTTTGGAGTGGGGATAAACTTCACGTTGTAACGTCAGCTAAAAGTATTGTATTCAGTAATAACGGTTATTTTTCCTTTCATTTAGTCAGTGAATTGTGCATATTTTGGAATAATTCTTATCACAGAATTGATTAGAGTTGTGACTTTCGTTATGTTCTAATTTTTCTGTTATCATGACTAACTATACTACTTGTGACAAGCCTGTAGTAGGATGGAGTGATATTTTTGTTGTAGACAACTTTCCACTGTTCATGTCTTCCTATAAGTAAAACTTCAGTGAATACTGCGAATTATCGAAGTCTTGTGGCGAAATTAATCATTCCTACCTCATTCTAAATGGTTCTCAGGCACGACTTCAAAATGGCAAATCACAATGGAGTTCATCCCCAGCCATCCCTTGTTCTTCCCCGAGTTCTAAGTTTTGAATTCAACAAAATACTTTTTTATTTATCGCCCAGATTTCAATTTTCTTGAATCTTCTTTTCAATCCCTAACTTTTTGCAATACTACTGATACTGGTACTACCTCCATTACTCTGGGATTTGGCGTGAAGATCTCATCTATATCTACTGAGACACAGCAACTTGAACTGGTGTACGCATGCACACCAGGTTCTATGTTACAAATGAGTGACTAATTGATTGAAAATGAGTTATTTTAAGAAACTCTTAGAAAAGCCTTTCAATAATTACTTTATGTTTTAAGTGTTTGATTCTTTAACACTCATTGGCTGATTTCACTGATCTGGATTTTATTGATTCGAAATGATCCAAAAAAAATTCAGCCTTATTTATAATATCATGAAAGTTTGTGCAAGGTGAATGACATTATTTCTTAAATGCCAAAAAGCTAATGTAAAGTGTCAATCATATATATATATATATATATATATATATATATATATATATATATATATATATATATATATATATACAACGGACAAGAAGCAACAATCTATTTACGAAAAAAAATCTGGTTACATTTACTGATTTATTACATATGTACAGTTGGAAGCTTTCACTGAAAGGTTACAATTTTTTCATTTATTGATTAAAATTAGTTTATCAAGGGTTTCCATGAAATCTACAAATTTTCGAACGCAAACTTTTACATTATAAGCAGAGTTGAATGGAGGCTAGCAATTGGATCCACGAAGCACATTTTGTCTTAAATGTGACTCGTCAGCTGGATAATGGAATTGATTTCCACTCAGAAACACGAACCTATTACCGCCCGTTTCAAACGCCAGTGCGCTCTGCACTGAACTAGTAAATCCAGATAACCACTGGCTTGTGCATTGGGGTGGTTATTAAGTCATTGGTATTGAGAATTTAAAATAATTAGTCTCTTTGATAATTTCGAATAATTTGATCATACACGGCTAAACACACAACATAAATGGCTACAGAGACAAATGAATTACAAATATGATCATACGATAGACAGATATCTTTCCCCATTGTGAAACATTTGCTTAAAACCGGTTATAGTATGATACAAGGTGTATAATTAGGTTTAGGCAAGCCTTGGGGTATATAAAAATTTAAACCCTATTTATGATTTCAAAATCAATTTGTTCTTGCCCTTAACCTGCCTTGATTGATTTCGATTTATTAATTACCTTGGTTTTCACACTTCATCTTCATCTTGTGTACTTTACTATAATTTTTGTTTTCTCCTTGCCTTCGAATTTGCCTAGTTGACCTTTTATTTCATGTATAGGTATGATCAGATTGTCCGAAGTGTATTGCACAAATATATCACATAATTCTAATAACCTTCATGTTCTTACTTGTACCGGGTTGTTTGAATCTTCCCACTGATGTCTAGAGCTGAAAATGATCAGTCGTTTTTTTGGCATGTATACATTTTGTATTACGGATCGTTATTATTCCTAGTGTGGTGTACGCTACTTATGTTCACATAAGTAGTATATGATATCAAACGGAAATCAAACGTCTGATAGCAAAAGATCGAGAAGGAAAGAATGAGAACAGAAGGCGATTTTTAGGCAATTTAAAGTGAACTGAAGTCTGAACAGTCTAAATGAAAGAACACTGAAATCTGAAACAAATAAGGATTCGTTTGCAAATAATGATTCATGGGAAGGTTTTGTACATATGCTTAACAACTCTGTAATATTCGCTTAAATATATATATTGATGGCCTCACCTGAATTTTCGTGCATAACACTAGGTATATCTTAATATTTAATGGTTTAGAGAATATCACTTGTTTGGATTGAAAATGTTTTCATTTGTTTAGAATCACTGCTAATATCGCAAGAAAGCTATACATACGTTTCAACTTTGAAACTTATGTTATCGGAAGAGAGTGGGATTAAACAAATTACTATAGTATATTTGTGTACGACTTACAAAATGACAACCATCTTAAAAGTGAACATTGCATGCATTAAGTTAATCAGCGGAGATCTCTCACTCCTAAATGAATAAACTAAATTTAGAAAAAAAATGAAATAGTATAAAATCGAAATCACTTTCTTTCTAAACATACCTTGGAATTCTTTTTGAGCAGCACTGACATTTGTCACAATATTACTAACATGTCCGAGAACCGTTGCCATTAGAAACATTCCAATGACACCTTCGCATATTAGATAAAAATAAGCTATCGGACATTTTGGTGTTGGGAATCCACCAACAGGAAATAAACTCAGCATACTCCAGTAAAATGCATGTAAATATTCATATCCATCATGAGTATCTGGAGTTGAATGTACTTGACTATATAAATGTAATCCTGGGGACATTTTTGTTACTGGATCCAAATCGTTATAAGCGAATGCTACTGCAGTTGCTGAAGACAAAGTTTCATTCTTAACATTGGTTAATGAATGATTATTTCTTTGAAGCAATGAACTACCATTACTCATGTCGTTTTCACTGAGATTACTGCGATTGTTGTTAGATTTACTAATGTTGGGATAATTATAAATACTTTCAGTAGTAAAATGGTTAGGATGAGAAGCAACAACCAAGTTCGAAATGTCTGTTCCCGATCCTTTCGTTGCAGGCGAGGTTGTTGCAGGCAGTTGTGTTATCGATGTTATAAATAAACTGTCTGTTGAATTAATCAACTGAAAAATACATGCATTCCAATGTAAAAATGTTAAATAATACAATAATAATTTAGTTGATCGCATTAAATTAGGATAATTGGTATGCCGTTCAGCTCTATCCATAAATTGCCAAAATTTGTACACTTTACACAATCGAAATATGCGTAAAATTGATTTGAAACCAATGGATAAATATAGGAAATCCAATGGCAGTAAACTTAAACAATCAATATAAAAACGTGATGAATTCAAGTAGTGTGAACGCATTTTCATCCCATCGAATTGCATAACACCATCTTCAAGGAAACCAGTTCTTAACGAGATAGTCATATCAATTAAATAGAGTAAATCAGCGAAATAATCTAAAGTTAACCAGAATATCACTGTTTGTTGATTGATTTCATTGAAAGAAAATCGATAAATGATTACCCACAAATGATACATAAACACAATACTAATAACACCACACCATGAATGAACTATACGTCCAGATGGATTAAAATAGAATAATGCACTATTCCAATTCGATTTACTATGTAGTTTTTGAGAATTGTTCTGTACTGGAGTTCCAAGTAAATTTGTTGTATTTACACCATGAGTCATGTCATATTTCTCTTTTGGATCGGTATAAGAATATGGTATGTTGTATAGAAGTGGTGGTATATTTGATTGAGTATTTGAATAATTTTCACCCGGTGGTAAGTGTTTACCTATGTGATTTTGTCTTTCATATGCCAACATTACATTTTCATCAATGTTGTTAGCTTCTTTGCATAGAAACCAATTGTTGGGTTGTTTCGAGTTATCCAGTGTGATAACTGAATCGTCAGATGTACTCACGTGTGTATCATCCATTGTAAAGTGGAATTCTTTTTTGTTTCTAATCAAAATGAACAACAGTATTTTTGCATTTGTAACTTTTTTCCCATTTCTTCAGTGTTGAAATTTTAACTGAAAATTTCAAATTGACTGTGAATCATCCGCTGAAAGATTTTATGTTAAATTGAATAACAACATTTGAAAAAAAAATAATTAAACAAAAAAAGCAACCGGGGAACTTAGTTATGTCCTATTCCTATAATGAAAATCATTTAACCGCTTTTAAACCAATCATTGTTAGTTATTTAGTTATCCTGGACATATACAATTCGTAATTTGATTGGCTTACATTTCAACTAGTCGTTCAGTTATAGTCAATAATTAAATTATGGCTTCAACAAATATATCATCCCTTGGCTTTTGTTTGTTTTACAAAAAATAAGCTCGGTAATAACAACGGAAAGTGATATTCTCTCTCTCTCTGGGGATTTCTGTCATTGTTATATATCTAAATAAATGTGCATAGTCCGTACATAGTATAATAATTTATCTATGTAGTTAAAAATGTTTATCTGAGGTCAATACTTTGTGGCTAACTTTTATCTATGAAAAAAAAACTAGTTAAGTACTGGCTTTTATTAATATACAGACTGGTACTAATGAAATCAACTGTTTTGAAAAAAGCTCATACGAAACAGAGAGTATCTAATAAAACAATGTGTAAATATTGTTCATAATTTTGTAATCGAAATGTTGTTATCATTAGAGCTCAACATGAAAGGAATTTCGGTATTGTGCGCGTTGGATACCGGCTCAGTGGTCTAACGGTTGGGCGCTGGCGCACAATACCGAAGGTCCTGGATTCGAATCCTGTGGGGTGCAGGAGTTGTGGATGCGCACTGCTGAGGAGTCCCATACCAGGACGAAACGGCCGTCCAGTGCTTCCAGGTTTCTAATGGTGGTCTAACATTGATCGATTCATGGTTTCAAAAATGTGTAAATTAACTATCTTCAGAACCCCGTAATGAAAGGGATTACCGTGTATTCAATGGGACTGTTGCATTCTGTTGTGTAGAATAAAGCAATGACACAAGTTTTATTAGAACTAATGTCATCTATTAACTGTACCGCAGGTAATAGAAAGTTATTTAAAGAAAAAAGCGATATGAGCTACGTGTATATGTGGCGATTTATCATTTCCGATAGTTGATGAGGCTTTCAAGTTAAATTATGGCATGAAAATGCTCAACCAGTTCAACTTATTTACAGAATACAACCTATCAAAGACTAACTTTGAATCGATATGTATATCTGGATCTTTTATTGTTCTAGTTTTTAAATAACAGAAATTTGTAATTCACATGTATTGAAAGCTTCAGTAGAAAAAACCTGCTTTGTGAATCGTACTTCAGCATACCTGAATAGAGGTTATGAATTATGGCACAACTAAAGAACACATTATTCATTCTAGACAATTTGCACAATCGACCCTCATCAGAGTAAACTCGGAAAAGTAGTCCAGTAAATTACTCTCACTAAAATAGTGTATTTACTCAAAAGACCTTTTTGTAATCAACAGTAGTTTTATAACTTCCACCAATTGGATTTAGTATAGTTTTCACATAAGGAAATGTATCTATGACCCGAAGATGATGAGTATAAGTATACTAAATGATAACTTAATTGTAAATTTTCCCTACAAACTTAAATGTGTTTTTTACATGAAATTTCTTATTTCTAAGCTATGGATAAATGTCCGATAAATACCTTTTTCCTACTAACCTCGATATTCTTATCTTTCTAAAAAGCTTAAAAAATCAACAACAAATTTAAATATAATTACTCTTCATTCCGAAAACTAACAACTGTTTGGGATTAAAAAGATCTAATAATATAGATTTTTCATAATTCTTATGTATAAAAATATCCTCACAGATCATCGCTGACTGTCATGATTCTACTACTTCAAGGACCTTGTTTGAAGTAGGGATAAACTAGCGATAGAGCATGGTTAAATATTAAACTTATTTACGTAGGTTCTTAAACAAATGTAACACTAGTAGTGAAAATTTCATGATAGGTGGCTTAGTCAGAGAATCTATCTGATTAGTCAGTTAAAATCAATCTTTTATACAATTAATTAACTGTAAATTCAATCAAAACAAGTGTAGGCGGCCATTCAGCAACAAACAGTTCAAACATACATATTATCTATAGCTATCCGATTGATAATAGATTCTAATTATGTCCAAATCTGAAAATAACCGAAAATTTCAATCTTATCCGCTTAGAATTTAACAAAACTGGTAAAACAAAAGTTATTCACAATAAAAAAGTCTTTACTAGTACAATTTTTTTAAAAAAAAAAACACACTGACTAGAAGAAGCGCATGAATTATGTAAGACAGATGATAATACTGGATAAACAATCTGTTCCGCCAAAGTTAACATTTATCAAATAAAGATGACATAAATAAAATCAAAGCGTATACAAAAATTTCTATGGTTTGTTGTAGAAGTGTTATTTTTAAGACTAGATATGTGTTTTATAAAGTTTTATATCGATTTTCTTTGAAACAATATTAGCTTACATGATACTGTAAATCAGGATGCATTATACACCAGTAGCATTATCTTTTAGTGGTGACCGAGTCGAGATTGACTATGATCATCACTAAACACTTAATACTATCCCGTCACAATAATCAGAAATAAATCCAGGATAAATAATATATTTGAAGGAGAAAGAGGGCGATACAACCAGCAGTAAGTTATGAATAATGGCAGCACCAGAAAAACAAAAAAGGTTGCGCGTAAGTAAGTGTTTTTAGTACAGTTAAACAAAACGAGTACAATAATCAATATTTTCTTTTCATGAATTGCATTTCCTTCGTTGAAGTGTTCCACTACAATCAATAACGAACTAAAATTGTGTTTTTGAACATAATACAACAATATCTTATTGGAAGAATGAATGTCGCTAAACTGCTTGAAAATAATTTGATTTGACATCGGTAACACCAAAAAAAAGAATTGTTATCACTAGTGATATAAATTTTTGTTTGATTATTCGTGGACGCTATTTTCGATTCTCAAACTTCAGAACACGTATGCATATTGATCTATTCATAAAAATTTATAACTTATTTCAAAACCGTTGGAAATTCGGTCATGCATTTCATTCTATTGAACGATAAATGTTTGTTAGTTAGATTATTATTGAAATAAACTAAAGATTTTTTTTCCTCTAAGATAGATGATTTATGCCAGTTGACTTTAAAAAAAAATTAAGTTTAAAGTTATTTTTAGATCGGTTTCATCAAGTCAAGTCGGATTTTTGAATTGATATTATCAAACTTGTATGCAAGTTATTCGAGCAAACTAAATACAGTTTGTTGCTTTATTTGTAAGTTGTGATAGTGTGTATTATGTATGAAAGAACCAGTCATATACTAACAATCTAATATCTAAAGATTTATCTACTTATATGAGTTAATATCATTATCTTTGATTTAAAACAATAGTGAAAAATAAGTTAGTAGATTAATGTTTAAATTTAGTTGTCTAGATGACATGCCGTCGATGAAAATTCCAATGTGATATACCATTCGTATCAGAGGTATCTCACTTACTTACTTACTTACTTATGCCTGTTACCGTCAATAGAGCATAGGCAGCTGACCAGCATTCTTCTACTGACTTTGTCCTGGGTCCCTCTTTTCAGTCTATCCAATTGTTGATCATTCATTTCATGTCTGCCTCCGATCGTCACAGCAGTGTGTTCCTTAGTCTCTCTCTTTTCTTTCGACCTGAGGTTTCCGATTTACAACTTACCTTGTGACTCAGTCGGATAATTTCCTCAATGTATGTCCTTTCTAGCTCCAGCGCTTTCCTCTACTTTCTTCCTCAACTTAAATCTGGTTTGTTCTCTTCTACAGCGGGTCATAACTGATGGTGTTAGGCCAACAGATGAGGAGTACTTTGCATAGAAAACTGTTAATCGACACATGTATCTTGTGGTTTGTTGGGGATGTTAGATCCCCAGAACTCGCTTGAAAAATGCCTTATTTTGAATTTCACGTTTGCGAACGTGGGCTGATCAGTTGACCTAGAGATTTCATTTTCCACCTGGATAATCTATGGCTGTGATTGGCTGCTGCGTATTTTAGTGTGCTATTTTCGTAACTGTCTCAAGGACGTTTCTATGATCTATAAATAATAAAACGAGAGTTATGTGCTTGATTGTATTGTGATTGCTGGGTTTTTGTAGAATATACTTTCTGTGCGTACAAAGTCCTCTATCTTCAGCTTGGGATTCAAGGTAGCCTACCTGGACGCCGGTAATTGTCTCGTCCGCGTTTATCGACTAAGGTGAACTCGTAATAGCTTCAAGCGTCCCTAGTGACGAACCCTACGGGTTGTCCAAGTCTCCGCTCCACACAATGGAACTGTCTTGCGTTTGTATTGAAAATTCTGACTGCAGTGTTGGTTGACAGCTATTTTGAGTTCCAGATGTTCATGAGAAGTGCCTACTTCGGCTGATATTATACTTTAGCGAAAATAACATACATATCATTATGTGTTAAACAGAATAGTTGAAATCACTTTCAAGTTATCATTTTTAAAAATTTCATATATCTTCTTAACAGAACGAATTGGTAATGTTAAATTTTTATTTTCGAACTGGCAAAAAACACATTTTTTGAAATTAATTAACTTTCCTGTTAATTTTTCTCATGATTAAAGTTTATGGTTTTATTTCATCTAATGTAAATATTTGCCATTTGATTTTCCCATTTATTTAATGCTTTCCAAGTTAAATTTTTCTATCTAAATGAATTTGCAAAAACAGAATTGGTTGCCTAGATCGAGATCGCTAAAACAAAATCATGTAGGATTTTGTGTATAAATTAGTCTGATAAAGCATAGTAAAATTTAATTTAGAATTTTTAGAGAAGAGATAAATATTGTAAAGTATGAAAAATAATATCAGTTTAAAATCTTTTATTTTTTTTTACTGTCAATGTACGTAAATA